TAGCATAATTTGAATATTTTTGATAATATATAAGTATTATTAACCAAAATAAAAAAACCTATAGTTTTAAATATTATAGAAATACTGTTAAGAGAAAATCTATTATTAGACTTTTAATTATATTTTGTGTATAATTAGCTATCTATAAAAAATCTATAATAATAATAAATTTTGCATAAACAGCTAACTGTACACAAATTTTTCTTTTAATAGCACTTATATACATATAGCTAAAAACTCCAATTACTTTATATAATATAAAATAAATATTAACATGCTAAATTTAGTATTAACTTCAAATTTAAAATTTTTTTTTAATATAGTTTCACTACCTTTTAGCAGTTTTACTAGTTTTGCTATTTTGGCATTTTAAATTTTTTTGGTAAAACCTCTAGGTTTTGCCTAACAATACTATATATAACCAACAATCAATATTATAATAACTAATAATATACAATAATAATAGACTAAATAATACTTATATTAAAAAATATATTCAAAATTGTTACTAATTTACATTGTCATTGAAGATTGAACTAAATAATGCATTTATATTAAGAAATTAAGTAATAGCTTACCACTAGATAAATAGATATAAAGAGGCACTTACCAATTTAACTAAGTCATTAGAGATTAGATCAAGTAATATATTAATATTAATAAATTAAAAAGTAACTTATCATCTAATAAATATAAAGAAAAATTATTAGCAATTAAACTAAATAAACATTTGTATTAATTAATAAATAAATATAAAGAAGAATTTGTTAATTTAATATAATTATTAAAATTAAAAATAATTTATCACCTAATAAATATATAAATAAAAAACTACTTGCTGATTTAACATAGTTATTAGAAATTGAATCAATAATATATTTGTATTAGTGAATTAGAAGTAACTGTCTAATAAATAGATATTAGTATAAAAAGCATTTAAAGATAGACAAAAAATTTATTACATATTAATGTTAGCATTCAAATAATTAATTTTTTTATTTATATATAAACAATTTTGTATATATAGTTTATTTGTAATAGAAATAAGTGATGTAGTTTATTTGTAATTAATGACTCTTAAATTACTTTATAATATATAATAATTTATTAGCTATCCTAGTAAAACTATAAAAAATTATCATATATGCACTAATTGGATTTTTTTAAATATTTGTTACCAATAAGATTATTAGATTAGATGTAATATAAAAATCATGCTTTTTTTAAAAAACAAATGATAACTAAAAATTTTAACTATAAAACTACTTACTGTGTTCTAGTAAAAAAAATTCTCATAAAATTTTAATATAAGTAATATATATTTTAATCTCAATATCAATCTTAATATAAGCTTTTAGTACTTTAAAATATTATATATATTAAAATTAGTTTAATTATTTAAAAAGATCTAATTAGTGCATATATGATAATCTTTTATAACCTTACTATGATAGCTTAATTTATCAAATATGTAAAAGTTAAATTTTAGCTATTATTATTGCTTATATAATTATTGTGATAGCTAATGCTGAAATTGGCTAATAGTAAGGCTCATATGACTAACATTGATCTTCATGCATTTCACAAATCAAATGCATCAAAATAACTATTAGTTAATTATTAAATAAACAGATCAGATGCATCAAAATAACTATTAGTTGTCCATTAAATAATATTATGCAATTAATAAAAAGCTTGATTTTATAAAGACTACTAGACCTATTTTATTTAAACTGTAACAGTCTCTTACCTAAATGCAAGAATTATACCTTTTTATTTTATTTTTATTGAACTTTTTTATTTTATTTTATTGAACTATGAAAGAAACTTTGAACTGTGATGAAAAATGTGTTTTTTTAAAAGAGAAACAAAAAAGCTAGCTTTTCTTATAGCAAATTAACTAAATAGCTTGAATAGTTTGGTTGATTATACTGAGCAATTTTACAAAATTAAAAAGGGACCTTGAAATGTGCTAAAAATATCTTTTTTTCTTTTTTTTTTTTAAAAAATAAAAGGTTGTCTCTTTAAAACCTTGTGGTTTGGATAATTTAAATGCAAAATCATGCTTATTGTTTTTTACTACAAAAGGCTTGAGAGTTGTTATTAGGAATATAATATTTAAAAAAAGTGGATTTTTTCTTTAGCCAAGTAATTTGAATAATTTGAATGTGTATATTGTATTTACTAATATTTGCCAATCTACAAAAGGGACTTTGAATTATTAGGAATATGATACTTTTCAAAAAAAAAAGATTGGCACTTTATAACTAGTGATTGAATAATTTAAATATAAACTATACTTATTAGATCTATAAAATAATCTTAAATTACTAGAAATATGATGTTTCAAAAAAAAAGTTAGCTTTTTATAACTAGTAATTTAAATAATTTAAACATGTATATTGTATTTACAATCTTTACTAATTTATAAAAAGGACCTTGAATTGCCAAAAATATACTTTTCAAAAAAAAGATTAGCATTTTATAATCAGTAATTAAATAATATGAATATAAACTATACTTATCAGATCTATAAAAAGGACTATAAATTGCCAAAAATATGCTTTAAAAAAAAAAAGAATAGCACTTTATAACTAGTGATTAAATAATTTAAATGTGAACTATACTTATCAGATCTATAAAAGTAACCTTGAATTGTTAGAAATATAATGTTAAAAAAAAAAAAGTTAGCTCTTTATAACTAGTAATTGAATAATTTGAATGTGAACTATACTTATCAGATTTATAGAAAGAACCTTAAATATAATGCTTTTTTAAAAAAAAAAAAAGGTTAGCTCTTTATAACCAGTAATTTTAAATAATTTGGATGTGTATACTGTACTTACAATCTTTATTAATTTATAAAAGAGATCTTGAATTGCCAGAAATATACTTTTCAAAAAAAAAAGAGATCTTGAATTGCCAGAAATATACTTTTCAAAAAAAAAAAGATTAGTGTTTTATAACTAGTGAATAAATAATATGAATGTGAACTATACTTACCAAATCTATAAAAAGGACTTTGAATTGCCAGAAATATGCTTTTTTTTTAAAAATAAAAAAAAAGTTAGCATTTTATAACCAGTGATTGAATAATATAAATGTGAACTATATTTACCAGATCTATAAAAGAGGCCTTGAATTGCCAGGAATATGATGTTTCAAAAAAAAAGTTAGCTCTTTATAACTAGTAATTTTGAATAATTTAAATATGTATACTGTACTTACAATCTTTACTGATCTATAAAAAAGACCTTGAATTATCAGAAATATACTTTTTACAAAAAAAAAAAAGGTTAGCATTTTATAACCAGTGATTGAATAATATAAATGTAAACTATACTTATCAGATCTATAAAAAAGACCTTAAATTACTAGAAATATGTTTTTTTTTTTAAAAAAAAAAGTTTAACATTTTATAACTAGTAATTAAATAATATGAATGTGAACTATACTTACCAAATCTATAAAAGAGACCTTGAATTGTCAGAAATATGCTTTTTAAAAAAAGTTAATGCTTTATAACTAGTAATTGAATAATTTGAATATGAACTATACTTATCAAATTTATAAAAGTGACTTTGAATTGCTGGAAATATGATATTAAAAAAAAAGATTAGCTCTTTATAACTAGTAATTTTGAATAATTTAAATGTATATACTGTATTTACAATTTTTAATGATCTTTAAAAAGGATATTGAATTGCCAGAAATATACTTTTCAAGAAAAAAAAAAGGTTTTAAATTGCCAAGAATATACTTATTAAAAAAAAAAAAGGTTAGAATTTTATAACCAGTAATTAAATAATTAAATATGATTTATATTTACCAGATCTATAAAGAGGACCTAGAATTGCTAGGAATATAATGCATCAAAAAAAAAGTTAGCTCTTTATAATCAGTGATTTGAATAATTTGAACATCTTATCAATCTTTTATTGATCTACAAAAGAATCTTGAATTGTTGGAATATGCTTTTTGAAAAAAAAAGTTAGCACTTTATAACTAGTAATTAAATAATTTAAATTCTTAAACTATATTTTGTGAATTATTACTAAATTATAAAAAGAATTTTGAATTAAATTAATAATATATGTTTCTTAACTTTTTAAATTTAGTTTAGCATAATTTAAAATTTTCAAATTTAGATTGTAAATAAAAATTTGCATAAAACAAAAAATTTCTAACTATATAATTTTGAATTACCAAGTATTAAAATTCTAGTTTGAATATGTATCAATTTTTAAATTATTTATTTTTATATTTATTGTAATAAGACTTTGTATTTTAAAAAATATTAAAAAATAATTTTGCTATTCTACTATGAACATTATTGGAAACTGCATGTAACAGTTAGGACGGTGACCCAAGCCACCTACGATCAAGAACGCAACCCAAGCCACCCACGTTCAAGACTGTGACCCAAGCCACCCAAGCCACCCAAGCCACCCACGATCAAAGACCGTGATTCAGGCCCGCATCAGGTGCCGTAACCCAAATTAACCGATCCCGATCCAAGTAATTTTCCGATGCATTAATTATGCCGTCATTAGTTAATTAATTTATAGCGATAGCGATAGTTAGTCATAGGGCAATTTGTAGTCAATTAGTGATGCATGAATTATGTAGTAATTTGTAGTAATTTGTAGTTTAGATTAGTAATCGTAATAATCAAAAGTGAAAGCACAAAGAGTATAAAAGCAATACTTACAATTCTTGTAAAAAAATCAGTCTGTTCAATAAAGATTTCTTCAATCTTGTATTATACAACAAAAGAACCTGTTAGTCTCGACCTGATTATTACAGTTTGAACAGACTATTTCCTCTCTTGAAGCAACACCAACCCAATAACAATAGTCCACTCATGTAGTAGGCTTCTACAAACTCATAAAATATTTGATTCTCTCACTGTTAGTTCTTTTCAGATATTAAACAACAAAAAAAAAAAAAAAAAAAAAAAAAAACCAGAAAACGAATAACAACGTATAAATAACAACAAGATGGCAGACCAACCCGATCTTTGTGATATACTAGCCGCGGTAACTCAGCTCCAACTCGACAATCAAGCTCTTCAACAGGATAATGTGGATCTCAGGAATACTTTAAACTATCTTCGAGCCCAGGGAGGAATCGATAACCAACACAAGGAACCCAAAGTTAGGCTCCCGGACAAATTTGATGGGTCCCGAGTGAATTTTAGAGGGTTCCTAAACCAAGTACGCCTCATCATACGAATGCAACCCAACCGTTACCCCAATGATCATTTACAAGTAGGTCTGCTAGGGAGCTTATTAACAGGTCTAGCCCTTGCCTGGTTCACCTTGCTCCTGAAGAAACAATCACCATTACTCGAAACTTTTGAAGACCTGGTCAGAGAACTTGAAGCCACGTTTGGTGACTCAGAAAAGTCCAGGACTGCAGCTAATAGAATTCGAAAGCTTGTCCAAGGAACAAGACCAGCCTCAAGTTATGCTTCTGAGTTTCGGCAAATTGCAGGCGATTTGGACTGGGGCGAAGCAGCGCTGATAGACCAATTTCGAAGTGGGCTTCGCAGTGATGTTAAGGACTTGCTTCTTTCAGTAGAAGACCCAACTTCACTAAACGACGCGGTTTCGAAAGCCGTCAAGTGCAACAACCGACTATATGAGCGCAGGCAAGAATGTTCATGGGACCTTCCAGCAAGACAACACCATTCTCAGCCCATTACCAGACCAGCACCTTTCGAAGCAGACCCAATGCAAATTGATACCGTGAGGATTAAGCCACTCTTAGCAGCAGAGAAAAGACGGTGCCGTGCAAATAATCTCTGTTTTTACTGTGGTGACCCAGGTCACATTGTTAAAAACTGTTCTAAAAAATCTTCTGTATCACCAAGAATTGATACTATTGTCTTCTCAGAAGAACTGTCAGGAAAAGAACAGCCCCAGTCGCAGTAAGGGGGCTGTGGCTGGATTATACTGTTAGTCCAAACCCCGTATACCTACTACCCAATAACCGCCCCGTATCAGCATTCACCCCAGAGTTATACATACACTTGCCAAATGGAACTCAAACAAGTGTGGAAGCTTTAATCGACTCTGGAGCATCAGCATGTTTCTTAGACCTAGCCCTAGCTCGAGAACTCAACTTACCTATTTACGAAAAAAAGACGCCATTGTCGGTTGAGGTAGTTGACAGTCAAGAGCTTTCATCAGGGTCCATAACGCAGGAAACTGGGCCTATTCCTGTGCATTTGCAAGACCATTCTGAGGAAATAATCTTTAACCTTATCCCTTCTCCTCATTACAAAGTAATATTGAGGCTACCCTGGTTGACTCTATATAACCCCGAAATTAAGTGGCGCGAGCGAATCATCACTTTTTCGGACCCAACCTGCAGCATTCACCTTCTTCCACCTGCAGGAACTAGCTCTACTAATAAAGAGCAAATTTTCGTAGTTCAAGTTTTTTCTACTGGGGCAGTTGACTCCTACCATACTGACAAAGGGCCATCCCCAACGGTTCCAGAAAAGTACCAAGAATTTAGTGATGTTTTCAGTGAAAAAGAAGCCTATAAATTACCCAAAAACCGTCAATATGACTGTGCAATCGACCTATTACCTGATATGCAGCCTCCTTGGGGTCTCATTTACGAATTATCCACACAAGAACTTGAAACCTTGAGGGGATATATTGAGGAAAATTTAGAAAAAGGATTCATCCACCACTCAAAATCGCCAGCAGGAGTGCCAGTACTCTTTGTCAAAAAAAAGGATAGTACCTTGTGTATGTGTGTCGACTACTGAGGCCTGAACCGAATTACGGTTAAAAATCGTTACCCACTTCCCCTAATACCAGAATTGTTAAATAGACTTACCACTGCCAAAGTCTTTACTAAAATAGACTTAAGAAGGGCCTATAACCTGGTATGAATAAAACCAGATGACGAATGGAAGACAGCTTTTCGAACAAGGTATAGACATTTTGAGTATTTAGTGATGCCTTTCAGGCTCACTAATGCTCCAGCCATTTTCCAACACTTAATGAACGACATTTTTAGAGATCTCCTAGACCAATTCGTCGTCATTTACCTGAATGATGTGCTGATATATTCACCTGACCAAGAAATACATGATTATTATGTGCGAATAGTATTGGAACGCCTACAGAAAAATGGGTTGTTTGCGAAACTGGAGAAATGCAAATTCGACAAAAAGAAAATAGATTTTCTAGGATATCACATTACCCTCCAGGAGATCCAAATGGACCCTAATAAGATTAAAAGTATCCTCACTTGGCCTATTCCAACATCAGTTCGAGAGGTGCAGTGGTTTTTAGGCTTCTCCAACTACTACCAACATTTCATCAAGAATTATGCCCAACTAACCATCCCTTTAACCAACCTTACCCGAAAACAAAAAAAAGGGAAAAAAGGATTTGTCTGGACCCCGTCGACTCAACTAGCATTTACCTCTTTAAAAAAGGCTTTCACAACTGCTCCTGTTCTAATCCAAGCTGACCCAACCAAACCATATTATCTAGAAACAGACGCATCAGATTATGCCCTGGAGGCTATCCTGTCTCAACTAAAATATGAGGGGGCTTCACTCTATCGCCTACTGTTCGCGAAAATTCACACCTGCAGAAATTAATTACGATGTATACGATAAGGAACTTCTTGCAATAATAACCGCTTTTAAGCAGTGGCGACATTTTTTAGAAGGAGCACAACATGAAACTACAGTATACTGTGACCATAAAAATCTACAATATTTTACCACCGCAAAAACCCTTAGTTGTCGTCAAGCCAGGTGGTCTCTCCTTCTTTCAGATTACAATTTCAAGATTATGTTCCAGTCGGGGAAGAAGCAGGGTAAGTCGGATGCCCTATCTAGAAGGCCAGATTATCAACCCCAGAAGGGTGATGAAGTGGTAATGCAACAACATACTATGTTATTGAGGCCTCAAAACCTTCTCATAGACACTACTTACGCAGCACCAACTAACATCACCATGTTGAACAAAATCCGTAACCAATTAAAGGGCGACCCCCTGGCTCTAGATGTGGTTGAACATCTAAGCAGCCCGAATAAGAACGTTCAGGGCTTGCGATCTGATTATCATAAGTTCCAACATATCGATGGCCTCCTGTTTAGGGAGGGCCTACTATACGTTCCAAACCTAACAGAAAGAGTAGAAGTGTTGCGCTCGAGGCATGATTCAAAACTAGCAGGTCACTTTGGAATAGCTAAAACTATAGAATTAGTTTCACGGGACTACTGGTGGCCGAAACTTCAAACCTGTGTAAGAAATTACGTAAAATCTTGCAATATCTGCGCCAGGTCTAAACTCTCGAGACATCGCCCCTACGGCTTACTTACCCCCCTACCTATTCCCTCGCAACAATGGCAATCTATTTCTATGAATTTCATCACAGACCTCCCGTTATCATCAGGGTTTGATTCAATCCTTGTTGTGGTTGACCGATTAACAAAAATGGCACACTTCATTGCATGCAATAAAAGTATCAATGCTAAGCAGACAGCTCACCTGGTCTTGAGAGAGGTGATACGATTACATGGAGTCCCAAGTGATATAGTGTCAGACAGAGGGACCCAATTCATTTCTAAGTTCTGGAAACAACTGTTCAACCTTATGGGAACAAAAATTAACCTATCATCGGCTTACCACCCTCAGTCGGACAGTCAGAGCGAAAGAGTAAATCAAGTGTTAGAACAATACCTAAGGTGTACAATTAATTACCACCAAGACAACTGGGTTGATTTGCTTCTCCTAGCCGAATTTGCCTATAACAACGCATCCCACACGTCTACCAAGACAACCCCTTTTTTTGCCAATTACAGTTTTCACCCTAACTTTGATCTTCAGATACCATCACTCCCCACAGTTCCGTCTGCAGAAGACAAAGCTGCTCAACTGCATCAAATAAGGGAATCACTTACCAAAGAACTGGCAACAGCACAAGAACGCTACAAGATACAGACAGACCGACGTTGACAAAAGGGTCCTAATTTTAAGGTTGGCGACAAAGTATGGCTACTTCATCGTAACATTCATACCACACGCCCCTCAGACAAGCTGGACTACCAAAGGCTGGGTCCTTATACTATTTCTGGAAAAGTTAGCCCAGTGGCATTTCGTTTAACATTACCTTCTTCTCTTAGGATCCACAACACTTTCCACATCTCCCTATTAGAACCGTGTTCAATCAACACATTTCCTGAAAGATCAGCAGAACTACCACCTCCTGTAGTAGTTGAAGGCGAAAACGAATACGAAGTAAACGAGATACTGGACTCCAAAATTATTCGGAAGAAAGTGTATTACCTAGTCGATTGGAAAGGCTATGATATCAACGAACACTCTTGGGAGCCAGCTGAGAATGTGGTCCATGCCCGGGAAGCGGTCGAGGCCTATCATCAGCAATACCCAAATAAACCTGGGCCTATATCAAAACCCGAAAGGGGTAGAAGACGAACAAAGGGAAAGCTGTTAAAAGGGGGAGATAGTGTAACAGTTAGGACGGTGACCCAAGCCACTTATGATCAAGAATGCAACCCAAGCCACCCACGTTCAAGACCGTGACCCAAGCCACCCAAGCCATCCACGATCAAAGACCATGATCTAGGCCCGCATCAGGTACCGTAACCCAAATTAACTGATCCCGATCCAAGTAATTTTCTGATGCATTAATTATGCTGTCATTAGTTAATTAATTTATAGCGATAGCGATAGTTAGTCATAGGGCAATTTGTAGTCAATTAGCGATGCATGAATTATGTAGTAATTTGTAGTAATTTGTAGTTTAGATTAGTAATCGTAATAATCAAAAGTGAAAGCACAAAGAGTATAAAAGCAATACTTACAATTCTTGTAAAAAAATCAGTCTGTTCAATAAAGATTTCTTCGATCTTGTATTATACAACAAAAGAACCTGTTAGTCTCGACCTGATTATTACACTGCAAAACTTTTAAAATTTTATTACAAAAAAAAAGCTTTAAAAAATTTAAAATTTTGTAAAAAAAAAACAATTTTAAAAAAAAATTTAAAAAAAAGTTAAATTTAAAAAAAAATTAAATTTAAAAAAAAAAATTTAAAAAAAAAGTTTAAAAATAAGTTAAATTTAAAAAAAAATTAAATTTTAAAAAAAAACAATTTAAAAAAAAATTAAAAAAAAATTTAAATTGAAAAAAAAATTAAGTTTAAAAAAAAGCTATTGAATAACTTTAACTTGAATAATCAGAATAAGCACATCCTTTCTATCAATTTTAATAATTACAGTATAATTATTTACTGCCAATTACTTAAAAACTCTCTGTTGAGAAAATACTGGTTGTAATTTTTATTTTCAGATTTGTAAATTTGTATTATGATCAGATGCAACTACAACTATTGTTTTAGATTTAATTATATTGTTTTTTGTTTTTTTTTTAATAAACACTTTTGTATAGGCATAATTTTTTACAATATTTTCCTAGTTTATCATTTACAGATTGTTGAACTTTTGATATCTGCTCTATACATTGTTTAACATTATTTTTTAAATTTTAATCATTTATATTATCTAATAAAATAGGTTTATTTGTCCACAACATTGTTCTTAGCCAAAATACATGCAACAAAATTCTTACAAGCCATATTGGACTGGTTAAAAATAAGGCT